CAATGAAGGTCAGTGCAGACCCCCACCCTGCGGGGCTGTTCCCACCCTGTTCCCCCCAGGCCAGTCTGGGGATGGTGCAGTCGCAGAGGGTCCCCTGGGCGTTTGCATGCGGTTGTTAAGCCCCCTCGAGCTGCTCGTGTCCTCTAGCTTTGTGCATGTGGCTTGGCTCTAGGCCACCTGGAATGGCCTCCCTCTTCCCATGGACCAGGTCCTGAGGGGAGGGAGTTTTCACTAGTGGTTAGAGCAAACCACTGGGAGCCAGGTCTCCTTGATCCTGACTCTGCCACTGACTTGCTGCGTGGCCATGAGCAGGCCACAGTCCTGGTTGGTGCCTCAGTTTCCTTACAGGGCGTGTGTGTGTGTGTGTGTAATTAATTCAAGAGCTCTGAGATCTGGATGAAAGATGCTATGGAGGGACCAAGCGGCCAAGCGTTACTATTAACCTGACCCAACTGTGTAAAGCCTCTGAATGCTGATGAGCACCCCGTAGCAGCTTTGGCACCCCCCCCCCCACTGCTGTTTGGAGAGTCGTCTCCCCCCCCCCGTGTAATGTCTGGGTAATAACAGGTATTTGTTTCTGTCTCCAGGGAAGGAGCTGCTAGTCCCGCTAACCAGCTCTGTATCCTTTACCCACCACCTCAGAGATGCTGCCGACATCGTGCTCTGGCTCCTTGCTACCCTGGCGTTTTGAGTCTCACCCCAATGGAGAACGTAATCCTGCGGGCCCCAGGATGCAGCCTGCTCTGCCTTTGATGCAGCTGGCAGCTAGCAGGCTAGTGTTGAACATTTCCAGTCAGGGAACTGGAGGCTGGGAACAGTCACAGGGACCCTTTACGTCACTAGTCTAAATCCTGCCTGGATTGACGGTGACCGAAGCTGCTCCCATTGGACGGCTGTTCCAGTGACCTCTCTGTTAAATGATCTGTGCTGTTCCATGTGGCCTGCCATCCACATCCCAAACCCACACCCCAGCTGGCCCATTAACCTCCTCCTTGCCAGAGGGGCCAAGAACCAAGGAGGCTGGTAGAGCATGAGCTCCCCTCTAACTCCATGGTAGGGCTGAGGCTTGTTGGCCAAGATGTACTGGGGGCACTTGCCCTGCTACTGCTTGGGTTGTGCCTGCTCTGGGAATGAACCGGGGCTTCTAGTTCCATGCTCAGACCCGGCTGCCTCCTCTGCCAGTTTCCAGCGATACCAAGAGCCTTGTAATATCCCTGTATCTCTCTGCAACCTCCTCCCATTAATCCTGGCTTGGATTTCTCCTCTGGCCAAGCATCACCTAGGGGCTTTGGGACTGGTCTGATCTTTTGATTCCTGTTGAAATTGGTTCTAGTCGTTCTCATGGGGCCTGCACAGTTCATATCTAGCAACATGGTCCAGTGGTCAGGGCACTGGCCTGTGACCTGGGTTCTGTTCCCAGCTGTAGCACCGACCTGTTGTGTGACCGTGCGTGAGCCACTTCCTTTCTCTGCACCTGTTTCCCATCCCACCTTCTCTGTCTCGTCTGTTTGGACCGTGAGCTCTCCAGGACAGAGACTCGCTCTCTCTCTGCATGTTTGTGCAGCACCCAGTTCAGCGGGGCCCTGAGTTTGGTCAACCCTTCAACCTGCCACCACAATATAATCTAGTAAAACACACTATTAAACTGAAGCTGTGGGCGAATTGCACTCTCAGATCTGCCCGTGCTCAAAGGAGCTCTGTTGCTTTATAGCAGCTCAGGATCTGGCCCCTTGCAGGAGGTGTAGAGCTAAGATGCTTTGCCCAGGACCTATCACCGTAACCTTGTTGCTGTCTTATGGTTCCCCTGCTGGTCCTGTGTTTTCCCTTGACCTCCCTGGCAGATGTACGTCCCCGGGAAGCTCTCCGACGTTGGCCACGTGCTGGTAGACGTGGGGACAGGCTACTACGTAGAAAAGGTAGGAGGCACTCGTGAGCCAAGCCACCGTGAGAGCGGCATTAGACTTGGTGTGTTCCAGGGAGCGGCAGGATGTGTTTTACCTGCACATAAAATGACTTAGAGCCATCTCTTCCCCATCCCAACCTCTGTACAAAACGCACTCACTCCTTGAGCACAGAATTCCTGCTGTACACCCAGCAGGCTCTGCCCTGGGAATGGAGGGATGTGTCTGACAGCAGGCTAGGTAAATGGCCAGTGAGGTTAGTGCACTGCAATTCTCTGCTCGGGGATTGGGTTGCATTCCCTTAGCCAGACCTCCGTGGTCTACGCTGCAGGTGGATCTTGCAAGCTAAGCAGGTGGGTTCTTCTATGAGAAACCTTCAAAACCCAAGCAGGTATTGCAGGCAGCGGTGGTGCACTCTTCCCCTTGAAGCAGTGCCTCAGCCTGCCATCTGTCAGGGCAGATGTAAAACCAACCTGCTGACCATTAACACTCCAGTGACCCTTTCCCCAAGTGTCAGGGGGTCAGCCCTGGCCAAAGATGCATGGTTATGCACGGTCTCCTCTTGCTGCTTCAGTCGGGGACAGTGCCATCAATTTCTATCCTGTTTTGTGGGCGTTGTGATGCGCTGTTGGACAGCTGTCATGTTCCGCCTCAGAGGTGGCTGCATTTCAGTAGCAGATGAGGTGATATATAGATACACCTACAAGTAAGGCATGCTGTGAGGCTTCGTTACTTAGTGCTTTGAGGTTCTCTGATGAAAGGTGCCGTAGAAAGGCTAAGCATGTTACTGCCTGAGCAGCCAAATCTTGGAGCGATTCAAGTGTTTACCCTCTGTCCTGTGCATTGCTTCCTTGTCACTGCACTTTAAGCAGGGGTTGAGCCCCTCTCCAGGTGCCCACCTCTCCTTAGGGTGGGCATATCATGCCACCTTTCCTCTTCCAGACAGCAGACAATGCCCGAGATTTCTTCAAAAGGAAGATCGACTTCCTGACCAAACAGATGGAGAAAATTCAGCCGGCACTGCAGGAAAAACATGCCATGAAACAAGGTAGGGACCTGTTGGCCTTTCTCTTGCAGGCCTGGTTCTGGGGCGGTGCCCACCGCTGGCACCCGCCTGTTCTTAACAGCTAGAACAGCCCCAGGCCAACTCCCTTCACTGTGAGCGTGTTCTCTCCCTTGCAGCCGTGATGGAAATGATGAGTCAGAAGATCCAGCAGCTCACGGCCATGGGGGCTTCACAGGCTGCAGCCACGAAGGCGTAGCCGTTGGCATCGGTCCCCCGGGCCCCGCACGCTGTGGCTTGACTGAGGCATTTCGTTCGGTTACGAGCAGAGTCTTAAAATCACCGAGGAAGCGGCTGGGGCCGAACCCCTCCCAGCCGGCGGGAGGCATCTGCTCTTTGTGCTGGTGGCTGTTACGTGCGCGCAGTGTCTTAAATGCAAACCTGGGGGAAACTCTTCCCCTTTTGTATGTGGCAGGTGAGATCAATGTGCAAGATAAATTAAAGCCGTGCTGAACGGTACGCGGCCGCCTCTGGTGAGAGCTACACTAGGTCGCCTTCCAGCTGTCGGCGTGGCCCCTGTGAAGCCACTGGAAGTTGTTGCCAGCTGATGTGTGGGGTGGATCTGTCTGTCTAAAGGTTCTGTCCATCACCCTACTCTGAGCCCCTTCCACATAATAGCAAAGGCCCTACTGGAATGGTGGCTCTGGCTGCAGAAGGGGAGGGTGGCAGGGGATGCAGCATGGGTGGGGGAGGGTTGCCTCTTCAGGGAGACCTACTCTCTAATTGGCAAGCCTGGGCTGGAGCCCTCCAGGGAAACAAGGTGGTTCTCCTCTGAGATGCAATAGCGCAGCAGTCAGCTAGTGTGGAGATCAGGGCATCTGGTGAGCACCCCAGACCCAAGGCAAGTCACTGGTAACCTACCAGCACCCCTACCCCCTGGCTGGATTTCAAGCTGTGGGTGCGTCTCTTGTCAGATACATGTTCCTTCTGGTCCCACCCCCCAGCCACTCAGCGCTACAAGCAGGGACCCAGTTTCCTGCCAGGGGGAGGAGGAAGGGCTATGAGACAGCAGGGGCCAGGCCTTGATATGATGGGTTTTTGATGGGCTGGATGTGCTGTGGTTGGGGGTGGGGTAATACTGGCCAGGCTTCAAGCTGCATGTAGACCTTGAGCAGAGGGTTGCTATAGCGATTAAGCCCAAGCTGGAAGCAGGCATCTGGTCAGCATCTTATGCCACTGGCTCTTTCCCTCCAGCTGCTCAGAGGGGGGAGAGTTCCCTCCCTCTTTGGCCCCAGCTGCTGAGAGGCAGGAAGGGAGATTGGGTCACCTCTGTTGCCCCTGGATGCAGTCCTTAGAGTTAACATTTTTAAAGCTCCCCAGAGGAGAGTGTGTCCCCCAATCCCTTCGGTAACTAACAATCTCTGCCTCCATTTGTGCACAGCTCCTCTCTCCATCAGTTCAAAGGGATTCACACGGAACACCTTCCTAACATAATGCACCTGGCTCTAGCTTAAAGCCACCTGCTGCCAGGGCTGGAGAAAGGGGGTGAACAGAGCTAGAGGGGCCACCACTCTGGTCAGCCCAGCTGGACAGAGACACACCAGCTCATGGTTCCCGCTGAGTTTCAGTCCCACAAGAGACAGCCCGCCTAGCTGAAACCGAGGATTTATTTTCACAAAGCTGCCGCTGGTTTCTATTCCCCTTGGCAGAAGCAGCCTGTCTGAAACTCCTGCAGGAGTTGGGGGCTACTGGCCTCCTGAAAGCCAGGCCCCGAGGTCTTAACCCCATTCAGCAAGAGACAGCTCATGCCAAGTCAGCCAGAGGGGGAAAACGCCCTGCCCCCTTCTGCCAGTCATGCCCTAGAACTCCAGGAGTTGGAGAGAAGTGACTTGCAGTGGGGGATCCTGGGGCCTGTGTTTCACCAGGTGCTGAGTGTCCAGGATCTTTAAGGGTGGTGGGGGGGAGGGGGGTGTCATCTTGAGTTGGACACTGCTCACTTGTGAAAACCTCAGGCAAAGGGAAACAGCTCTTCCTATCACCTGTACACACTGGGAGCAGGCGCTGGTGGGATCCCTCAGGGAACGCCCTGCCAGCCAGGTGCCTTGCAGTAGGTCGCCCAGGGAACACAGACAGGCTGGGGGGTTGGTTCTGAGCTTCTGTTCTGCTTCACTCTTTCACTTCCATTGCCGATTCCTTCTTTCAATCTCCAACCGGCCCACACCCACGGACGGGTAAGTCCTGTCCCATGCTAGCCGACTGGGGCAGGTCTCCAGAAAGCTGCCAGCTAGGAGGGAGGGGGGACAAGAGCCTCTTAGAAGGGACAAAGAACCTTTGATTAATTCATGTGATTTCCCCCCACCCCCATTATCCGTATTAGCACAATACCTGGGGCCCCCCACTGAGAGCAGGACCCCAAATACGGAACCACGGTGCCATTTCCTTCCCAACGAGCCCGAGCCACACAGAATCTACACCCCCAAAACAGCAGAATTTTATTCTACACCCGAGGCACCTCCTCATCCACAATCTAGCTTTTAACGTCATTCCCCAGGAGAGGATGCCCTCCCCTGCACCTAGATGCTGGCTTCCCTAGGATGGGGGGTTGCCTTGTTGAGTATTATGGCTTCTACCTTAAACATCCCCCCACCCCACCCCTGGTCCCCGCCCCCCACCTTATGTACATCTGTAAGCTCTGTCCCCTGTGAGTCTTTTGAGGTCTGCTTTCCAAGGGTTTGACCACAGCGTTGATAGAGTGGACGGCCATGGGCAACCCGCACCAATCTAGTGGATGGCCATGTGACGCCATAGACAGCCACGTGACTTGCCAACGCTAAGTGCTCATTGAGATCATGGAAGGTCACATGACGGGCCACGGGCATGCTCAACATCCGTCGATACGGTGGAGGGCCCCGCTCAGCACACATCAATACCATGGACAGCCACGTTCAGCGATGCTGGGGCTGGTCACGTGACAGGCATAGCCATGCTTTGCAGGCAGCAACGCTGCGGCCAGCCACGTGCCGAACCCCACTGAGTGCATCTTGATGCCATGCATGGTCACATGACAGGCACGGCCCCGCTCCACACCCGTCGCTCAGCGCACGAAAAGGGGCTTGTGGACCCTCTTGTGCCGGTTGAGCGTGGCGCTCTTGGCAAAGCTCTCCCCGCATTCCACGCAGATGTAGGGCTCGTGCCCGTGGGCTTCGGCCCGGTGGCGCTCCAGCTCGGCGCTCTCACGGAAGGTCTGGCCGCACTCGGGGCAGGCCTGGCTCTGGCGGGCAGCGTGGAGCCGCTGGTGCTTGAGGAGGTTGGTGCTCTGGGTGAAGCCGCGGCCGCACTCGGCGCAGCGGTGGGGGCGGGCGCCCGAGTGGGTACGCTGGTGCTTGATGAGGTTTTTGCTCTGGGTGAAGCTCTTGCCGCACTCCCCACACTGGTAGGGCTTCTCGCCGGTGTGGATGCGCTGGTGCTGGATGAGGTTGGAGCTCCAGCTGAAGCTCTTGCCGCAGTCGCCGCAGCGGTAGGGCTTCTCGCCGGTGTGGGTGCGCCGGTGCTGCACCAGGTGCGAGTTCTGGCTGAAGCTTTTGCCGCACTCGCTGCAGGTGCTGGGCCGCTCGCCGGTGTGAGTCCGCTGGTGCCGCAGCAGCTTCGACCAGTGGCTGAAGCTCTTGCCGCACTCGTTACAGATGAAGGGCCGTTGCCGGCCGGCGGCACCGCGGTGCCGCACCACCATCCCCCCCTCTTCCTCCTGCCCGCCAGCTAACTCCACCAACTCGCTGCCATAGTCAGGGGGCGGCCCTGCCGGGCTCTCCGGCCCCCGGGCTTTGCCGCTGTTCCCGTCGGCTCTCTGGGAAGCCTTCTTCTTGGGCTTCTTGGCCAGCGGGCTATGAGGGATGACGGTCTGGATGATCTCGTGCTGAAGCTCCTCCTCGCTCTCGCTCACGATGCCGTCGTCAGCTGGAAAGCAAAGCGGAGCCGGGGTTGGCACAAACGCACAGCCCTGGGGCTCCGTCTGGAAGCCAGGGCTGAGCGCTGCAGAGCAGCTCAAGGGGTCAGAGGTCCCGTTGCCATTAAAATTCACAGCAACCGGGTATTTGGATTCTCCAGGCAGCTTTGAAAGTCTCCCCCATAGTCCTCAGGGTGGGAGAGACGGCAGTTCTCATTTCAAACCCCGCCCCTCCCAGGAGAGGCCCCAAGCTTCCCCTCAGCCCCACTCCCTCATGAGCTAGGCTGAGGTGACAAGAGTGACCCACAGACCCCATGAGAAGTGGATGGGGAAGCCTTCGGCTGGAGGTGTATTAACCGCCCAGGACCTATGAGACATGGGAGCCTTCCCTTTTCCCCCCCCCCACCCTGTTCCAGGACACTGTATGGAAGAGAATGGGGGGGGGGGGGGGGAGGAGGAGAGAAGCCCAGCTGCCTTGCACCCTGGAGCACACAGGGACCCTCTCCTCAACCAGCGGCACAGCCGAACCCCCACCCATAGCAGGTGGGATGGGGCACTCACCAGAGAGAGGGATCTGCACAAAGCGATGCCAAGCTTTGCCACATGCAGGGAGGACGAGAGATCCCAAGGGGAGGGCACGGAGGGATGGGGCTAGGACACCCTTTGGACGCTAGCAGTTTAATGGAGGAATTAACGCCACCCAAGGGACCCGGGGTTCACCCTGAAGGTGGCTCCTTGGGGCAGCCACCCTGCACTCAGTAACCCCCAGGTACCCTCTTCCCTTCAAATTAAAGCCACTTGGTAAGTGAAACAGCAGGTCACTCTGAGGGGAGGGGCCTCAGGAGTCTCACTGAATTGTCAG